TAAAATGCAATCTGTCCAGATTGTTTGATATGAGAAAATGGGTTGAACATATATAAATATTAAAATATTTCTAAAAAGGTGTGAAATTTGGTTAGAAGTTGTTCAACACAGTAACAGTGGAGGTATAAAAAGTTAAAGGTAAAATGATTTTTGGAAGGTTTCTTTTTATAATGATTGGTGAGACCAAGATTCCAAAAATCGGAAATTTCATGTCTGTACAAATATTAACTTTTGGTGCAAAGACTTTAACCTTAAAATGTATAAAATTTCGTACTACTGAAATGGTATCAGTTTTAATCTATAAAAACTCATTGGCATTACATAAGGTATAATTTTACTTTATCTTTATCGAGACCCGATAGGTGAACTGATATATGGATTTCGGATTGTTTAGGAAAGTAGGGCGGACGTATTGTGCATCAAACGTCATCAAAATCTTGGATATTTCAGCAAACTTGTGAGTTTTTACGGCCTCACTTTTACTGCTTTTAGTTATTTTTTAAACGGGGGAAAAGCATGAAAGAATGCAAACTATACTGTTTAGTTGTAAAACTAATGGACTAAAGAACTGTTTAGTCAAAAGTTGTGAATATCATGAAAAATTGATTGTTAATGCACTACCTATAAATGATAAATTGATGTGCTTGAGAGGATATTTCAAAAAGTCCCCTTCCGTACACGCTACTAGTTAACTCGGGCACGTCCCCGGGCTGTGGTAATTGTGGATAGCCGCTATTGTGTTGACAGTCCCACCCAGAAAAGGGTGCACATTACCTATGTTTTTCATAGTCTACTCATGTGTGCGAATGGGCCACCGCTGAAGTAGTACTGATACGAACCGTGGTACCTAAGTGAGTGAACGGGCCACTTATGGTAGTTCGTAGACTAATGGGGAACCTTGGTCAGGTAAGGCTCTGTAGCGTCTCAAGTTTTTAAGCATTGATGGAAAAATTTACATTTATATTGTGCATGTTATGTATAAGTTTGCAAGTTGTGATTTATGCATTGTAAATATTTTGTGCATATGAAAACTCGTGAACTCACCAACTCTTGTAGTTAATGTCGTTTTATGTTTCATGTTTTTCAGGAAATTAAGTAAGAATGGAAGTTTTGGAAGATCTTATGCGATAACACCTATTCACAAGTTTTAGAAATTTATGCCTGTAAATGATGTTGTTTTCATCGTGAACAGTAAATTTATGAATTTGTAAATTTTTAAATGGATATTGTACTTAATGGTGTTATCTATCGATTATAACTATGAAATGCTTACCTGTTACGCCTCGTGGTTCCGCTTTAGCGGCGTGTGACACCATTTAGTTTTTCATAGACGTTTTGGGCATCTTTATATTTCTTCATCAAAAGTTCATTGGTCTGAAGCTTCTGATGAATAATCTCCCTTTCTTTTTGAAAGAAATCTTTAAGAGCTACTGAGTTTAGTGTTTCTGCCTCGGATTCTTTCAAGACTTTCACCTTCTTTTCTAAATCTTTAGAGATGATCTTGTTCAGATCCATTAGTTTCTCTTCTTCTATTTTTTAAGAGATGCAATGCGGGTTTTCTCTTTAACTAATTCAACTTTTTCTTCAGTAAGAAGATTAGTCTCTCTTTTGTAGAAACTAACTTCTTTTTCAGATTTTATCCTTTCAAATTTTTCAAAGTTTGATTTTTCTTTTAATTTAAGAAAGTCTTCTGAAAGTTTTATGACCTTTAACTCTAACTCAGATGGAGCAGAGTTGGTTTCATCATGGGAAGAATCATATACCTGGTCATCAGAGTCGGAAGTGGATTCTGCATTGGACTGGGCCATCAGACATATGCGTGCCTTGTCTTCTTCATCAGACGAAGAATTGGACACCCAATTTTCTTTCTTAGCTATTAGGCTTCTTTCTCTCGAATTGTACTTGTATTTATTTTTGTAATAGTCTGCATCCTTGATCAGACGTCCTTTACATTCCTTCGAAAAATGGCCTATCTTCCCGCATCGGTAGCAACGTGGACCATCTTTCCTTCCGTTTCCTCCTTCTCTTATGTCTTCTCTCCTTTCTTCTCTGTCTTCTCTTCTTTCATCTCTCTGATGAAATCTAACCGTCTTCTGTCCATAGGTTGGCTGATATCTCTCCATTTTGGAGTCTCTTTTGATGTTATTTTCAAAGGGCTTCTTGACAAACTTTTTTTGGAACTGTTTGGTTATCAAGGCAAGGGATTTGGCAAATGCCTTGAGATCATCATCGGAGTCTGACATTTCTTCTTCAGAATATGATTCAACTATCAAGGTCTTCTTGCTCTTCTTCTTGTGTTCTTTAGAAGAGCTCATTGTAACCTCCTTTTCTTCTAATACCAAGGCAAGAGGTCCTCCGATGGACACCTTCCTCTTCAAGATATCTTGCTCTTGGGCAGCAAGTGTTCCATATGTGTCATGAGTGACCAACTGTGATTTGCTTGTAAAGACATCGACAGTTGAGTCCACTCGCCGAGACTTTTGAGGAAAAGGACATTATTTTCCTCTTTGGTCCTTGCAATGTCGATATATTGAAACGATCATACGTCTTCTGTATCGGTTCATCAGGCAATGCTTTAAAGTTCGTATATTCGTTCAAGCATTGCGCCCTTCGATTTTTCTTCGTTTTAGCGCCTCTCTCCAGTTGGCTTGCCAATTCATCCCATATATCCTTAGCAGTTGTACATGCATCCAGAGATTGGAATATTTCATTGGGAATAGCCATAATTATCAGCCTCTTGGCCTTCCTGTTTGCCTCTACCCTCTCAATGTCGTCTTCATCCCAGTTGCTCTCATCCTTCACCATATAATAAGCAACAACTTTTGCGGTAGTGCTTGTTCCAGGAACTCTTGGAACAAGAGTTTGAGGAATATAAGGCCCTTTCATTACTGATCTGAGGAGAATTCTGTCCATCCCCTCCAAAAAATTCACCATACATATCCTCCATTGCGGATACTCTTCACGTTGAAGAGTTGGAGGTTTGGTGAGGGAACCAACACTGTAGACAGAATTCCAGTTGGCCATTGAAGAGATTTAAAAGAGAAGAAGAAAATTTAAGAATGGAGAAAAATTGAGAGATTTGAATACTCAGATTCAAATTGATTGTTTTGATTGAAAAGTCAATCAATTTGCTCTGATACCAATTGTTGATCCCAGATCTCTCAATATAACACGAAGATTTATGTTATGAAACCTAAATCTATCGTATGAATGAAGAATAGTGAAGAACAACTTATAAAATATTCAAAAGAATATGAAGCTTCAAAGGATTTCACTATAATAACTTCAACGAGAAGGAATAAATAATTTACAAGACATATGATAGCTATTTATACTAGTGATCTATTCTAAGAGATAACAATCTAGTGAAAAGATATCTACGAGAAATTCTAGGAAAAGATACTCATCTAGAATTTAGGAGTTATCTCAAACTACCTTGTGTAACCGAATTCCAGCTGTCGATGAGTCATCTCCAGCTGTCTTCTAGGTAGTATATTCAACCAGGAGTCTTTACGTTTCTTCTTTACTTGGATATCTTTGATTGAACTCTTGTTGAATCTGCTAAGTGCTAATAACCAGAGGGGTGATGGAGATGCATTGTTCATCGCACCTATGGACCATTCATCGCATCTCTGGTTCGCCTTGAGCACTTAGGTATTTTCCAGCTCTTCTTCCATCGGTCCTCTGGACTTGCATACTTGTACATTTTTCATTACTTTTACAACAATAATTATGGGGTCTGACAAATCTAACACTTCCAAGGTTAATTAATGGCGTTTTCCATCTTCGGATCTTACGATGGTTTCATCTTTTATTTGGATTTTATCGTAGATGACATTTGCAATGCTAACGACATTTTATTTTTCGCTACAAGTACTTTGTTTGGATTTTTTTTTGTTTTGTACCTGAACTTTACCTCCTAAACATTTTAACAGTCATCAATTGTTGGTGCTGCTTACATGTTCTACATCTAAATCATACACACATAATACAACTAAATCTGAATAAGCCTATAAATTTTATGGCAAGAGCTTACAAGCTCTTATCATGAGAAAAAAAAAAAAAAACAGGGCAAGGATTCCCCGCTTGGAGGGTAACAAGGTGAGATGGGGTTTAGTTTCATATACGAAGGAGGGTTGGATTGGAGATGACATTATTGGCCCTTAATCTGACCCAGATTAAACTTTTGTGTAGTATATACATTTTTATATATCTTTATTATTATTAGTATATAAGAAATATATTTGATTTTTAATACTAGTAATAAATTTAGTGATGATTCATTGAAAATTTTATTATAAAATAGGATTTTTTTTTTGTGGTTTTTATTTAACGGGGACGGAGATGTATTACCCGTTCCATTTCCATCCCCGCTCGCCGTAAGTGTTGTGTTTTCATAAGAGATACCTCTCTGTAGGGGAGAAATCACTTGTCTTAAACCCCATATTACATGGCTCATACCAAAAAAGCATAATGACAAGCGAACCCACGATCAATATGGACGTTGCGGTTGCGGATCAACAAATGATGTGCAAGGTGTCAAGATAGTAATGCTAAGCAGCAGCACAAGTATATAACGAGGTTTCATGACCATACAACTGTGTATGTCCTTCCAACGAACCTGTGATGATGTTTTATATAATCAAGTAGAAAGCTACAACGAATGCTTACCGAATGATTATAAGAATTTGAACGCAAACAAAAATAACCTATTGCTTCAAATTGGAGGGAGGAGACCACCAAAATGTGTTTGCTAATTCGTATGTTTTTATCTCACTACAAAAATGAGCTCTAGAAATTGATTTATCAAGACGTGTGGTCGTCAGATGCCGGCCAAGCATACCCTCCACTCACATTGGTCGTATGCAGCCTGGCCAAGTCGCTCGGTTCCTTTACCCGACATGACATTGGAACGAGACAATACTAGACTACATACACCAACCCTAATGCTGCTAATACTAAGCTCGGGAGTGATGTCACACACATTGCAATTACTAGTAATCGAATCGCTTGCTTGCTGCATAAAAGCATCAACTATACAATATTTTGACCCAAGTACAAAACTAATGTGAATGCCTACCTATATTCATAATGAATCAAAAGTAGAGGAAATTACACAAGACTCCTCTTATTTTGTGATCAGCCAAGCTATGCAGACCCGTACAGATGCGCCTGCTTGAAATTGATCTAATGTTTGATATTTGCAAGATCGAGTGCATTTCAGGTCTTGTTCCCAAGTAAGGGCTCGTTCATAGTTCCCTGGGACTTCAACCAAGTAGAATCATCCTCACGAGACTTCCTCGGAGTTTGTCCTAGCTTACTTTGGCCTCCCTGGTATTTAAAAAAGAGCAATCATCAGAGACGGATTATTTTGCTTAATAACCTTTAAATGGAAATTTTATTAAGAGCATAACCTTCTACAATTTTAATTAGTGGGCATTCTAAAACTTATTAGAAGGTCATGGGTTTAAAAGAAAACTGAAAGAAGGTCATTCAACCCCAACAAAGACTTGAGTCAAAATCAAGCAATACTAGAGGCATGTTGATAGAAGGTCATCGAGTTGAAAAGAGGTTTTAAACGTTATTCTCCTAACTGAAAACTCATTTAAGGTCTTTAAACTAAGGGGCCGTTTACCAAAAACTCACTGTCCCTTTTTTTTCTTTGAAGTATATAATATTTATATACGGCAAATAGAACAAATAAACTCACACACCCTCCTCATCTTTGGTGAGGTTTGAACCCTTGACCTCCTAGGAGGCCAAGGACTCGCATACCACTAGGTCAAACGCCCTTTCTTACCGTCTCTTACCGGGTAACTAAACACTTGATGCCTCCTACCGGGTAAGAAACGCTTAGGGGCTGCTCATTACAGATTAATGAGCTTAGTGGGTTGGGCTGCTTATTCACTCAGCCATACAGGATCGTTTCTTTATGGCTTAATCATTAAGCCATTTAGCCAAAAACGGTTATATGGAATAAGCCACAACCCATCACTTGTCCCCATTAAGATACTCAAACAAATTAATACAAGAAATGTCCAGAAATAATCCAACCCTCTCTTTTTGCCTCCCATAAACCTGTCAGTCACTTGTCCCTTAAACAAACAAATTTATTCGGATTGACAACTTAACCCATACAGGGCCTAATAGGAAAAAAAGAGTAAACAGCCCCTAGCCGGTCATAGATGCTGGTCTTTACCACCAATCTTATCCTGCCATTTTTCTAACCGAGTAAGAGATGCTTATCCTATGCTATTTCGATGACCGAGAATCTTACCAGTAAAGTGAGAGTGGTGACTCTTACCGAGACTCTTACCAGTAAAGTGAGAGTGGTTTTAGTTGGTTATTTTGGCTGTTTTCATTATGTAAGTAAACTGTTTGTATTTTGACAGCCCTTTTTTCCAGTTAGTATCAAATTTCTTTCCACTGACAGGGAACCTATGATCATAACTTAAACATACAATTTTTTACATAACAAGAATATTACTATCTTCATAAAATTTTAGCATAATGAGAACACAGCTTACAGCCGCTTTCTGAGCAGACAAGGCAGTTAATCTTCGAATCGATGGAGCACGGGCTACTGATGAAGCAGCTGCTGCTGCTGCTACTCGTATCCTGTAAAGAACAAAATATTGGTGTGTTTATCCTTCTTTCTGGACACAACAATATGCATAAAAAATCCATTAAATACCTTTTATGTACATCAACAAATTCGTCTGTCTCATCCACAATCTCCTCCTGGATCGATAGAAAAGTCCATCATGTGGTGATATTAATGAAGCTCGTAATGAATGGAGGACTAAAAGGCAAGTACATTCTACAGAAAAGTAACATTCTTTCAACTGTAGGTGCTCCTACTCTCTTTCCTAGTATCAAGTACCAAGTCATTTTCAGAATTCTAGATGGAAATATTAAGATCAGCAGCCAAAAGAAAATCATATATACATCAATGTTTAACAAGGGTTTAATTTTTCAAAAATTAAACTGAACCAAACCAATAAATCCCATAGAGGTGGGGTCTGGAGAAGGTAAGGTGTATACAGACCCTACCTCTAGACTGGTAGAGAAACTGTTTACATGAAGGCCAATGGCTTGCAGAAGTAGCAGTACTAAAAGATAAAACAAGCAAGTAAGATATAGAGAGTGGAGTGTAAGTGAACCTGCAGAAGTTCCTCAAATACGTCTTCCAAGGTGATTATGCCAATCACTTCACCTTCTTCGATGTCCTCCAATGAATAAGGCATGCCGTTTGTCTTTGATGATGTATGTGTAGTCTGACTCGCAGACTTGTCCATGTCAATTATTATGTTTTCGCCTTTCTCTCCATGCTTTGATGACCTTGGAGTTGTAGATTGAAAATCTTTACTGCTTACTGTTCTCTCTTCATTCTTTTCTTCAAGTGATGGAGGTTTTCTAATTTTCCCTTTAGTTTTTACTACGGCCGCCATATGGCTGCCTCCCTTTTGGAACTCATTCAGTATATCATATAGAGGCATGTCCGCTGGAACCCTGGCCGATAAATAAAGTCAGCATAATTCATACGCTCCCTCTGTCCCAATATACATGTTTGCTTTCCAATTCTACCCTTTATTATAGATGGAAACTTTTTATACTCCCTCTAATATTAACGGTAAAAATTTTATCTAGTTAACTAGAAAGCATAATAATTACACATTTCTAAAACTGTGTCTTTTGCTAAATTATGTGAAGTAAAGAAAAGCAGAGCTATTTGAAAGACCAAAAGGAGAAACCGGAAAATGAGAAAAGTATGAGAAAAGTAGGGCCCACCTTGGAATTCTCCGAATAGAAACAGCACTTACTGGTGTCTCCGTTTCAGCGCGTACAGTAAGAAGACTTTTGACCTACGATTGATTCATCAGAGATGGAAATAGGAGGCGTTACTATCTATAGCCACGTGAAATATGCAAAAATGGAAGTAACCGAAGATTATAAGAGCAATCCACCAGCAGAAGGCCAATAATATTTCTTTGATTTCCTGAGTATACTGGAACTCTGCTATGACCACGTGCAAGAATTTTTCCCATTGCCTCCCTGACATTAATTGGTGAATGAAATACAGAACCATTATCAATTAACAAACTCTCGGAGAACGAACAGTCAAAGAAAAAAAAATATTTACTGAATTTTCAAAATTTTACAGAATTTTTAGTAAAGTATAGGCTAGAGAAATATCAAGAATTCAGAACTATCATAATAACGATGATATAACCAAGTCATACTCCAAAAAGAAATTTATATCATGAATAAACAACCCTCCTATGATATATCCAATGGTTTGATATTTCTTGATTAATTCCGATTTACTGAACTTCTGATTATTCAACCTTGCTTTCTTGTTGCAACTCCATTTTTAGCAAATCTAGCCTCTTCAATGAATTGAATTACATATTAGGCTCCCTTGTCTCAAATTCCTGCTCCATCCGCCTTCTATCCATCATCAAGCAGTATTCAACCTAGAAAGATTCCTTAGCTTGATTCCATGGCATTGACGTTGCTTTCGTTACTCCTTTTATTGCCCTAAGTGTATTCCACCAATGTAAGTGTCTTCTTGAAGTAAGGTGGTAGCATATTTTATTGAGTTTCAGCACACTGGCATGTTTCAAAACGGCTTTCCATGCCCATAACCCAATCCAAGTTTTACGTTGATCTAGTTATATTCTCCCTTAAGAACTGTAGGGTGAGTACTCACAAGAGTTTTATAATTGATTTCTTTTGAAAGTACCAAACTTGTTTCCTCTAGAGCACCTATTTCATTTTCTTTGGCAATATTTCCGTTCATTAAATAAGCTAATCCTTTCTTCCTGTGTTTATTTCATTACAGCGGTAGCACATTTCTTAGCATTACTCCATATCTTGGTTCCTATTTATTTCTTTTTCCTTGAGGTTCTAGGGGTAAACAATGCTAGTTTCTGCCCTATGTTGTTCCCTTCCATATGTAGCATTTCTTTGATAGGTAGTAAATGTTACATGTTACTTTAGCATTTGATAATGTAGCATATATGGTTATCATCATAATTTACATATCCGCAATATTTTTAACTTGCTAACATATCTATTCTTATTCATATCATGGGAAGTTACTTTTTGTTTAACACATTCTCACTGTTCTTACAAACCTTTTATTGCATACATAGTGGATACCAAGAGGCTCATGAACATACAAAAGATTTCACTTGGTGATCACATATCACCATTTACTTCCATACATACTTTATAACAACATGTTATTAAGAAAGACTTTCCCAACTTCTTTGTACCACCATAACAAACATCACTACTACCAAAAAACTACCTACCTATCAAAAACCAACCGACCATCACAAATAGACCATCACAAAAAGTCCATCACTCGGCCTGAATTGTGTAACGATGACAACCATATTTCATAGGGAAAATGCCCATCTCAGTAGCCAAATGTGCAATTAAATGAAGTCGACTTGCTAACCAAGCACCTATCTCGGGCATAAAGGTCATCACTCCATTCTTTATCACCTTTGCTACATGCCATATGTACACACCCTTATCCTTGATTATAGTACAAATGTTGTGGCACTTGACTCTGAATTTCAGTACCCTATCCAGACTTCATGAAAATAATTGAAGGATTTGACTGACAAAAGGTTGTTCAGGCTCTTTTACTTTAGGTTCTTATTCATCAGTTATTACAATTATTGGCAGGGCTCGCTGAGGGGGAGGCTCTATTATTTGGATGTCGTTGTATGGTTCTTTGGAATAGGAGTTTCACTTGGTTGTTGTCTTATGGTTCTTTGGAACAGGAGTTTTCCTTGCCTAACTTACAATCTGCGCGACCAGCACAGTACAGTTTGTGATACCGTTTTATAGTCCTTTGATATGGTGTTATTCAAATCAAAAGAGAGGAAGGATATAACAGAAGAAAAATGGTGGATAAAGTTCTGGACGAGAGGGCATGACACATAACAAACCAAGGGAAAACCAGGCACGAGCGTGTGAGGGATTCCAGAAGATTTGCATGGTCCACGATGGGTAGAGCAAAAACAGCACGAACCATGCGAGGTGGTCCAGGGGGTTTGCACGACCGGTGTGGAATCCAATCCGAAAATGGCACTGACCATGGGGAATTTCAAGGGTGGTTGTGTGATCCTTTTGATTTCCAGGCTATGGTACAACCTCTATAAGCATGCTAGATGATTATAAAGATCATTTACACATCCAACACCCTAGATGGAATAGGAAACCCAAAGAAAACAACCATACAACTTGGACAAAATAAAAGATAGAGGAAATGACTCACGATAGTAGGCAATAGTTTGCACTTGCATCTTACTTAAAGGGTTCCAAAACCCCCCTAATACTTGGTTCCATCCTTGTGTTCACTCTTGCAATGGGTACCTAAGAGCATCTCGAACAGATTCTCCGAAATGGAGAAAATGGGGATTTTGGGCAATTTTTTGCTCCAAGGGATTCTCCAAAATGGAGAAAGTAGGAGAGAGAGTGTAAATTTCTCCAAATTTGGAGATCACTCCAAAAATGATTACCATGAGAGAGATAATTTTTTATTATATTCCACCAATAGGTAACCTTGAAATGAAATGTTTATGAGGGAGAAATAATATTTAATTAAATGTATGATATATTTTAAAAATATAATTAATGATGTAATCTCCAAAATAGAAAATTTGTCGGAGTTGAATGCATTTTTTTAGAGATTTTGAACTTTGGTTCTCCATTTTGGAAAACTTTTGGAGAATTTGTTGGAGATGCTCTAGCGAGGCTCAATATGACATGACATGAGTTTTTTCCATCAGATGTGCCCAGAAACTAGGCTTGTACATCACCCATATGCTGACTTGGTTCAGTAGGTACACATCCTCACATTCACTTCCTTTTCCATGATTTTAAGATACATTATTTTGTCTTTACCTATAGCCATTATTGGTCTACAACTTATTAGTAACTTTTGGTCGATCCACCTGACTAGCCGACTATAGCAGTTATGCTCATACCAAAGACCCACAACTTTATGTATGTCAAACATAACTAAGTTAGGACTTTGAGGTTCTGGCTCGGATATCTCTGGTTTCGCTTCGATTCATCATGACTTATCATAATAACAGGTTGAGCTGGTTGGGAAGGGGTTGGAACTTCCTCAACATCGATATCATATGGTTCAGTTTAGTGGGTTGTTTTACTTGGCTTGGTATCCGAATCCAAGCTATGTACGTCCCACTAACTATAATTAGTCTCATTTTAATTTATCATCTATTTTATTTGTAGAGTGTAACGCATAACTACGCTATTTTTTTTACGCATACAACTTGAATGTGCATCACAACGCCCAACAAAGTTTAGGACTCATTTTTATGCATAAACATCACGGGTATATGTATTTACTTGGCTATAGCTCCCCTTTGAGGATATATTCGTCATTTCAATCCATTCTGGACTCGATCAGTCGATTATCTACCAACATCCTAATTTATAACTTGTTTGACCGGTTTTCAATTTCATTTGTGATTGAGTTTGGCTATAGACAACCTATATTACCCTAATTAATAGCCTATAATTAGGTTATAAGATATGTACATATATGTAGCACCAAAGAATGGTCTAATGATTAAAACATAAAGTTAATATCATGATGTAGAGGAAGAAAACTCACCAGTCCAACTTTGAATTGACGTCCAGGGAAAAGGTGGATTCGATTGGCGTCATAGCCTCCTGTGCAGTCTGATAACAAGTCAAAAAAGAATTACTTAAGAGTAATTCTCTACATATGATGAAGCAAATGATATATTATTATGTGAAGAATTAGATTGCAAAATCGAAAAACTTAACAAGGCAAGGAAAACAATGTATAACACAAAAGCTTGAAGCCAACCATGATATCAGAGAGCTTCTTGCACACGCACATTCCTACGGATAGGATAACTGTTAATGGCATATGCTCGAGGAGTTTGGTGTAATAGCAATATATACGAGAGAAACTTTAGATCGGCTATTAGGTGCAAGTATGAGTGCCCTTCCTCAAAGCATGGGAATAGAAACAATGTTTTAAAAGACGAAAACTAGATGCAAGATGTTTTCCCTTAGTAGCGCAGGTGTAAGCCTTGAGTCGGACTAAGGTGTATGCCTCCATAATAAAAAACCAAAACAATTTATGAAACTCATAACAACACATAATTCCATATTGAATTATGAAAGTCATAAAAATCATAAAACTACTAGTTATAAATCTTGTAAACAAATACTAAATGAATATATTAAATAAAATGAAAATTAATCAGAAAATTATGAACACCGAGTGAAAAAAATACAAAAATTATTCAATATATTATACATAAGATGAAAATGATTTGCTCAAGACAAAACCCAGGAGGAGGGGCTGTTGGTGAAAAAAATACAAAAACTATTCAATATACTATGGGTGAAGTGTATCACAACTTCAGATAGGGGAATGGATACATACTTGAGAGCATAAGGAACTAGGTTTGAGCCAATAAACAGATAACATCAAAAAAGACCATGAAGCAAGATCAAAAGGGGCATTGACAGATAGCATTGATCACATAGATTTACAGTTGGCAAAGAAACATCATTTAAGGGACTTGGGAACAAGATTAGCTTGTTTGGAGTCATGTAATGTGAGTAACAGACGAAACCTAATATTTTGGGATGGCAGAAAATAGTGGAGCATGAAAAAATGAAGACAAGGGAATTTTCCTGGCATAGATTGAAGAGGGCAAAAGGCTAATTAAACCGGCAGTTAAATTAGCATCCCCCAACAAACAATGAGCAACATAATAGTGAATCAAAGGTGTACGTTTACGTCCAGCGAATGACCGTTTTTGTCTTCGACAACACCATTCTATTACTGCTTAGGGGTAGCTCAACTGGTTAGGCCTTGGGTTTGCTCCCCAGTGGTCACCAATTCGAGTCCCTCAAGGGCAGCCAGAGTTTTCCAGGCTGTTAAGTTCAGGGCCCCATGGGATTAGTTGAGATGCACGTAAGGTGTCCTGGACACCTAAGGTTTTAAAAACTACATTTTTCTATCATGCATGCTCATGAAAACTTATTCAACATTCCATTCTGACATAAATTACATGAAAACTTATTTAGCATTCTATTTTCAGACATAAATTTATTGAACTCACTATTAAAAATAAATCCCATGTTTGAACTCATAAATTTATTCACGTAAATTACATGCATGCCCATGGGATTTCTAAATCCCATGTTTGTGGGATTTCAATGAAATCCCGAGATTTCAAATTCAAGCAATCCTTCAAACCAAACATAGGATTGGAATGGAATTGAATTCCAAATCCCTCGAAATCCTATCCAATCCTACAAACCAAATGGGGCCAGTCTACAAGTGCCCCTCCACGGGGAAATAACAGCAAAAGGTTTAGACATCAATAGGCCATTGCTTTAGATCCTACTTCATAAATACACAGGAAAAGAAGTAACAAACAATTACATTGAGAATCCAAAAGTCAAAGAGGAGAAAGGGGAGCCATATCACATCACACAACCTAGCATTCATTAGAATCCATGCACTAGGTGTGACAATCTACACCAGCGAGTTCACAATCAGTAATCAAGAGATTATATAAGAACATTAAAGATTGTAGTCAACCAAAAAAACAGAATTTTGATAAAGATTAATTACAAAGCAAAAATGTGAAACAAGCTGATGGAATAGAAACATGTGATTCAAAATTACAACAGTTTATGGTGATTCAAAATGCAAGTTTAAGTCGAATGACCAAAATGCATGTTAAAGTCTTGATACCTTTTCAGTTAAATCTAGCGCTCCACTGATTATCGTCGTCTCATCATGAGTGAGTTCACCCCCCTTGCCAGCCTGAAACAGCAATGAGTCCATGCCATTGAGCAGAGAATGAGGCATATTGAATATGCGTGTCAATCTGGACTTTTGGAACTAAACAAGTAGATTGCAAGACCATCTAATAGTTATGCCATTTAAGATATAGATAATTAAAATTTGTTAACCTCCTGACTGTGTATGGAAACAAGGGCTTTCAATTGAGCTCGTCTAAATAGCGCATCATTATGTCCTAATACCAAGTCAAGAATCTGAAATACAAAAAAGAATAAACATAAGCTTGCATATATGTGCATGGCTGATAAACGTAAAATTAGAATGTGTCCACCTGCTTTTAAGTGGAATACGACAAGAATAGAATGGTATGCATGTGTTGGAACCAAAAGGCAGAGTAAAATATCTAAAAGCTAATTACTTTACTTGCAGTTTATTTATCATGGATATATTACAAAGAGATGGGAGAAGTGTAAGGGTTTTTGCTCAAGTCAGTTTAGATACAAGACTCATGACAGAGACAATATAAGAAAACAAAATTATTGATAAGGCCTTAAGACAGGATAGTTGGGTTGCAAAAGCACAGAGCCCTATTCAAAGCTGCTGCAACCCTGCTAAAGCATTGCTTTGTTTCACTTCATCTCATTTATGTTGTTGTTCAATGCATCCAGATAAAGCATACCCAGGTTAACTAAAATGTATTGAATAGCAAGCAAACATGTTTTTTGCATAGGATCATCGTATTCTGGAGTTTCAAGGTTATGCAATAAGCTCTCACTAAGAATACATCTATTATTGAAACCCTGGGCTGTATGGAAGGTTCCATTTTCCACTTGTTTGTTGCCTTAGGCAATAAAGCTTATAGAATTCTTCTGCAATGCAGGCATCAGACATCTATCTGAACTTCCTATGCTTTGATAAGTGTTCCTTTTGAAGATGGCATCAAGGGAAAGACCATATTAAATGGATGTCTTCAAAACATTATCAAATTTATCTATTTTCTAAGACAACTGATGATTCTAAACTAAGTTTTACGCAATTACTAGGCATGCAACAAACTATCTTCTTTTTCATCATTCACCCTTTCTTCTACTCATGAAGACAAGTGCTGTAAACTATTAAGCATGTAATCTGGCTGGATTAGGTAATCAATATTCGAGATATAAGAGGCTGTAAGCGGTTGTTGCATCAACAATTTCTTCTCAAAGTAAAACTTACCTTGCCAATAGGATAAGCAATTGGATAACAAATTATCATCAAAATACGCACAAGCCAAACAAAATTTGCTCCAACAGCAAGACCATATCTGGTACATATTGCTTGTGGAATAACCTGTTGGGAAAAATCAGTTGGCCTAAATGTAGACATATAAATGAGAATGAAGCAACAACAAAAGCTTTCAAGCTGGATTGTGACCATTCCAATCTACCTCTCCAAAAAACAGAACAAAAGTTACAGAGAGCACAATTGCAACAACTTGATTGAAAATCTTATCCAAGTACAAGGGCAGGGCCTGCAGATTGAATCAGCATAAAACCAATGGTAAATAAGGAATTATTATATATTACCAAATCGCAGATAGATATAATAGTCATTAGTAATAAAGTTATATTCCTAAGAAAAAAATCTGAAATCCTCTCTCCTGTGTGCTATCCTTATAAATTTACTGTTATACTGCTTCAAGACTAATCCATCACTACTTAACGAATATCCAGCAAAAACAGGATAAAGATCCAATGTAATAATAGTTTATGAATTTAACACAGATGTTTAATGTTTGTGCAACCAGTTAGCTCATTGGAACTGTAAGTTGTATGTTATAACCATGACACGTGTCACCCAGATACACTACCAACGAGCCATGTAAATCTAAAGGGTCGCACACAAAGAACACTAATGCTTCCACTAAAGAAAAAGAATCCAAACATGTATGCCGTTTTGTGATTATTATAATTACAGGGTTTAATCTATAAATATGTATATAATTATCTTAAATGTTTTTAGATAATTATATAAGATATTATTAGATAAATGAATAATCATTTTAGATAATGATTAAGCCATATTAAGAGTTATGGTCAATCTCGAAGACTGACCATATAAATAGGCTTAGGGGCTAAACCAAAGTAGAGGATTGAGTTCTGATAACTAGTTGTAGCCTCAAAACCCTTACGATACAATTATAGAATTAGGATTCTTTGGGCTAGCACCCGGTGGAAGTTCCAAGCGTGTTAGTGTGTGGACAACTGATAGAGGAAACCTGATTTGGTTTCTAAGTGCTACATCAAAGTTTCAATTTCAACCACAAGGTAAATATTTTAAACACCCTATGGTTTGTGTAGATTCGTTTTAATTGTCAATGGATCCGGCTTTGGGTTTTATTTAGATAATATTTTCTAAACGTTTTTGTAACCGGGTTCTGTTTTTCCACTGCGTTTAATCCGGTTATTTTCGCAAACTAAAACCCAACAGTGGTATCAGAGCCACTTTGACAATTATTCCGATTAATCGGAAGTAGTTAAAACGAAATGTCATTAAACGGGATTTTATTTTTGAAAGGATTTCGAAGAAATCAGTTGGGCCGGTTCTAATAAAACCTTAAATAGGCCGAGACTTCTTTTGGCTACTTCTTTGGGCCTGTTTTTAAGCCATTTTAAATTAAAATGTTTGGGCTTATTATTAATTAAAAACTTGTTTTTTCAATTTAAATGATTGGGCTGGTTTTAAGTTAAAACTTTGGGCCGAATTTCGTTTAAAGTTAGGGTTGGTTTAAAATTAAATTATGGACTAATTAAAACCAAATATGTTATTTGGATTTTAATAAAAATCTTGTTAGATTTGATCTTTTAAAATCCCGATTAATTTCCATTGTTAATTATTTTTGTTTTTGGTCAATTATTTAATGTTTATTTAATTGTACCAACTTTTTTTTGTTTTATATTATGTTTAATATTTAAATTGTGAAATATATGGATTGCCCCGACAGGACCGTGGTTGATTTATTTATTTATTTTTGACGGAAAATTAAAATGTATTAATTGCATGGGTTGTAATTTTTAATTTTAATTTTCTAGATAGGACAAATGTAAATAGAATAAGAATTATGTTGTATTTATTTAAATCAACGAAGACGACATTCCAAAGAAGACGGAGTCCCTGGAGTTCACCAAGATGGTAAGGCCAGTGGGAGCTTGAAGACGTCTTTAGTTTGACCGTGGTTGTTGTGTTGGCTCACAACACCACATTAGGGGCAAATCCATATATTATCTTGTGGTTGTTTATTTTGTGTTTGTTTTTTTTATATATTTGTTTATTGCTTTTATTATTGCTATGATAATTGCAAAACATTTTAAAAATCAAATGCAAAAATCGGTAATTAAAATGCGATATTTTAAAATAATAATGTTTATCAAAAATCAAACCGATTTTTACGAGTAAACTTTTAAAACAAAAGGATTTTAATTTTAGAGATAAAATCAAACGTTTTAAAAGTAATTAGAAAATGTTTTTCTAAAATTTAAACCTTTCCAAACGTAAACTAAACGCCACCCATTTAAGGTACTTGTCAAGTATTACAGATTCCAGTATGATTAGTGCCTGGCCTATCATATCGGATGATAGTAATGTGAGACAGGGTGCCGAGACTACGAGATTCAAGTGAAAGTTGCACTTGGTCACTCACTTGAATAGTCGTGTTTTGGACGACTGATCCCATTAAACCTGAATTGAGAAATTAGGTGGGATCACGATACCTTAGTATGGTTAGTTTACTTAAAAATATCATAGTATCTGAATTGACCTTCTATAAGTATTTTTAAGGCGTTGAAGTGAGATTAAACGTGTCTATTTGATATATGATATATTAAATAGAATCTCACGATCACCTAAGAGTTATGTTGAACATAATTGGATGATTCCTACCTAAATAACTTATTTCTCAGACAGTGCAATACCATTTGAAGAAATAGATGAAATATGGATCTTAGCTCAAATAAAATTGATTTTTGAAAGGTTATTTTATTTAATTTGAGATTTTAAAAGTCAGACTAAAATCGAACTTGGATATTGTAGATGTCTGCATCCACTCCAAACCCAGACTCAACCACAAACAACTTGTCCCAATTTGCACTCCGGTTTGTCCTTGAAAAAGAAAAGTTGAACGGGACGAACTTCCTCGAATGGTTTCGCTTCTTAAGGGTTGTCCTTAAGCATGAAAAGAAGCTCTACGTTCTAGAAAACCCCCCTCCAAACGCTCCTGCTAGAACTGCATCCGCTGAAGTCAGGGGTGCCTTTGAAAGGCATCAGAACGACTCACTGGATGTGGCATGTCTCATGCTTGCCACTATGACTCCTGAGTTATTGAGGGATCATGAGGACATGAATGCTTGGGAAAAATTTCTTCATTGAAATCTATGTTCCAACAACAAGCCAGGCAAGAGAGGTTTGACACAAGCAGGACATTGCATGCCTGTATGATGACTAAGGGTTCACCGGTCGATACCCAGGTCTGAAAAATGAAAGGGTATGTTGACCGATTAACCCGTCTTGGTTTCCCACTAAATAAGAAATTGGCAATCGACTTGGTTCTCAATTCCTTGCCTAAATCATATGACCAATTTGTTATGAACTATAATAAGAATGGTTTAGAAAAGTCTCTCATAGAGCTTCACGGCATGCTTATAACTGCTGAAAGAAGTATTCCCAAGTTGGAAACCCCTAAACCGAAACAAGTCTTGATGATCAAGCCTAAAGGTGGGATAACTAAGAAAAGGATTGGGTAGCCGAGAGTAAAACTAAAGTTGGAAGCTCTAACAAAAACAAGGGCAAAGGAAAGATTCCTGATGATGTAGTTTGCTTCAACTGCAACCAAAAGGGGCACTGGAAGAGAAACTGCCCAGCCCTACTGGCAGAGAATAGGAAGAAGAAGGCTGACACAGTTGGAACTTCAGGTATATTTATCATTGATTCATTCATTTCTGACTATGATTTCTGGGTATTGGATATCGGATGTGGTACTCGTATATGTACTACTTCAAAGGGACTAAGAAGTGAAGAGATGATGAAACCAGGCCAAATGGAACTGAGAATGGGCAATGGAGCTAAGGTAGCCGTTGTTGCTCAAGGCACATATGATATGGATCTGCCAAATGGCCTTACTTTATCACTTAGCAAGTGTTCATATGTACCTAGCATTACTAGGAACATAGTTTTATTTTCTCAATTACAACAGATTGGATTTATGTTTACTTTCAGCAACAATACAATTTCAGCTTATCTTGACAATGTTTTGTATTTCGTGGCGAAACCACGGAATGGTATTTATGAAATTGATATTCAAAATAGTTGTAATTATGAATCAATATWCAATRTAAACAATAAAYRRATCAAGYGAGGCTTGAATCAAACCTACTTGTGGCATTGTCGTCTTACACATATAAACAAGAAACGCATAGCCAAACTCCAGGCAGACGGAGTATTGGAATCATGTGATGATTCATGTGACACATGTGAGGCTTCTTTATTAAGAAAGATGACTAAGGCACCTTTTAAAGGTAAGCTTGAAAGAGCTACAGAACTTTTAGGAGTCATTCATACTGATATATGTGGGCCTTTTAGTTCAGTCACAAGAAATGGACATTGCTACTTCATAACATTTACTGATGACTTCAGTAGATACGGGTATGTTTACCTAATGAAAAATAAATCTGAAAGCTTTGAAAAATTCAAAGAGTTTCAAAATGAAGTAGAGAATCAACTTGGCAAGAAAATAAAAGTACTTCGGTCTGAACGAGGTTGTGAATATTTAAGCCAAGAGTTTATTGAACATCTAAGAGATTGTGGGATAGTATCCCAACTATCTCCTCYGGGAACACCACAACATAATGGTGTGTCCGAAAGGAGAAATAGAACCTTGTTAGACATGGTTCGCTCTATGATGAGTTGTACCACTCTGCCAAAGAGTTTTTGGGGATATGCCCTAGAAACAGCTGCCCGAATACTAAATAATGCACCAATCAAAAGGACCGAAAAGACTCCATATGAACTGTGGTCTGGGAAAATCCCAAAACTGTCTTATATGAGAATAAGGGTTTGTAATGCTTATGTTAAGCAAGAGGCTTCTAAAAAGCTTGACCCGAGGTCTGAAAAACGCATCTTTGTGGGATATCCAAAAGAGGCTATTGGATATTATTTCTACAAACCCAACGAGAACAAAATCTTTGTTGCGCGACGCAGTGAGTTCTTAGAAAATGATTTTCTATCAAGAACCACAACGGGGTATACAGTAGATCTGGAGGAAACTCAAGAACCACAAGATGAGACAATGGTTGACCCTGACCAACAACGAGATGATCAACCTCAACAAGTTGTAGAGGTAAATGACGAGATACAAACAATCCGAAAATCATGTAGGAACCGTCTTGAGCCTGAAAGATATGGTTATCTTATTGGAAATGACATGGTTCATGATGAACTAGTCACCTACCAGGAAGCAGTATCAGGTTTGGAATCTGATAAATGGCATGATGCCATGGAGGCCAAAATACAATCCATGGCAGATAACCAAGTTTGGAACTTGGTAGATGCACCTGTCGGCTGCAAAATCGTAGGATGCAAATGGGTATTCAAAAAGAAAACTGACATGGATGGGATTGTACATACCTATAAAGCTAGGTTGGTAGCAAAAAGTTTCACACAGACTCAAGGAGTAGATTATGATGAAACCTTTTCTCCAGTAGCTATGATAAAATCGAACAGGATCCTACTTGCCATAGTTGCATATCATGACTATGAGATATGGCAAATGGATGTTAAAACCGCATTCCTTAACGGATCCTTAAGCAAGGACGTGTACATGGTAGAACCAGAAGGTTTTAAACATCCAAAGTATCCTGGTAAGGTATGTAAATTGCAGAAGTCTATATATGGACTGAAGCAAGCATCTCGTAGTTGGAACCTTCGTTTTGACGAGAAAATCAAGGAATTTGGTTTCATAAAAAAACGAAGATGAACCTTGTGTATACAAGAAGGTCAGTGGGAGCATAATAGTATTCATAATCCTATATGTCGATGATATACTATCGGAAACAACATCCCAACACTTAAGGAAGTAAAAACATGGTTGGGGAAATGTTTCGCGATGAATGATTTAGGAGAGGCATATATTCTTGGCATAAAAATCTATCGTGATAGATCTAAGCGCTTAATTGGATTAAGCCAAAGTACATACATTGACAAAATCTTGAAACGCTTCAAGATGGAGGGTTCCAAGAGAGGAAACTTGCCAATGGTACACAGCATACAACTGAGTAGAACTCAATGTCCTAGTACTAAAGAGGACATGAACCGCATGAACGGTGTTCCCTATGCTTCAGCCTCGGTTCAATAATGTATGCCATGCTATGTACTAGACCGGACGTATCGTATGCTTTAAGCATGACGAGCAGATATCAGTCAAACCCAGGTGATGCTCATTGGGTAGCAGTAAAGAATATCCTGAAATACTTGCGAAGAACTAAGGATATGTTTTTACCATATAGAGGTGAAGAAAGAGATTTGTGTATCCAAGGATACACAGATGCTAGTTTCCAGACTGACCATGATGACTTTAAATCACAATCAGGATATGTGTTTGTGTTAAACGGAGGTGCTGTGAGTTGGAAGAGCTACAAACAAAGCACTATAGCAGACTCAACTACACAATCAGAGTACATTGCAACGTCAGACGCCGCAAAGGAAGTTGTTTGGATGAAGAAATTCATCTCTGTCCTTGGGGTAGTTCCTAGCATATGTGACCCTGTCGAGATCTATTGCGACAACGAGGGTGCCATAACTCAAGCAAAAGAACAAAGGTCACATCAGCGCTCTAAGCATATACTAAGAAGATATCACCTGATTCGTGAAATTATTGATCGAGGTGATGTAAAGATATGCAAAGTTCGATCAGAAGAAAATCCAGCAGATCCTCTCACCAAGCCTTTGAGTCAAAACAAGCATGATGCTCATACTAGTTCGATAGGCTTGAGGTTCTGTAATACATTAGTATAATGGATCTTAGTAGTATACTTTAATTATTTGAATGATAAACAATTATGTTTTATAAGTTTTGGCATATTGGATATGGGTATTTACATTAAACATTATTGTGTTCAATTTTTGCACGTTTAAGTATCCTTAAATAAAATGATGATCATATTATTTAGAATTGTCCTTGACCAATTATTATCAGGGGACTAGTAATAAATCAAGGTTATTGTGAAGTTTGGTCATAGTCCAAGTTAGAAGAGCAATGAGTGCAACCAGAGTCATATGCACTTGTCGGAAACAAGTGTTGGATAAGACCCACGGTCAGGATCACCTCATAGATCGACGTCATAAGGTGAGTCCTGAAATAAGTAAACTTTCTTATCCTTAGACCCAATTATCATCAGGGGACTAGTAATAAATCAAGGTCATTGTGAAGTTTGGTCATATTCCAAGTTGGAAGCGCAATGAGTGCAACCAGAGTCATATGCACTTGTCGGAGACAAGTGTTGGATAAGACCCACGGTCAGGATCACCTCATAGATCGACGTCATAAGGTGAGTCCTGAAATAAGTAAACTTTCTTATCCTTAGACCTGAGATGTACATTGGTATCCAATGCATGAAAAGTGTTGTGCTTTGATATAGTTTAAAGTTACCCTTAACCGGGTGATCATAAGGACTATGTTGGGCATAACATAGATAGTGTATAAGTCGTGTACATGCAAAATGGGATTTGCTCCTTTCAAGATGAGAGAGATATTTTTGGGCCCCTCGATGACACGATTTGATTAACATGGCCATGGACTAATGTATTGGTTTAACCAATAGCACCAGTCTAATCAAGACGTGTTAGGATCGAGAAATAGAATTTTGAACTATAAAAGATGAGCAAGATCTATGCCTTAGAAGTTCAATTCAAATATCGTGAAGCAAAGGGATGATGAATGACTCCTGTATAAGATTGATTGGATCAATCAAATTTCTAGAAGAAAAGAACATTTACATAGCGTTGGGGGCAGTGACGTGTTGCTAGACGCTTACCACTGTCTGTGTTACAATGTGTCATGTGTAAGTGGGAGAATGTAAGTTGTATGTTGTACCCATGACACGAGTCACCCAGATACACTGCCAACGAGCCATATAAACCTAAAGGGTCGCACACAAAGAACACGTATGCTTCCACTAAAGAAAAAGAATCTAAGCATGTGTACCGTTTTGTGATTATTATAATTACAGGGTTTAATCTATAAATATGTATATAATTATCTTAAATGTTTTTAGATAATTATATAAGATATTATTAGANTTATAATTACAGGGTTTAATCTATAAATATGTATATAATTATCTTAAATGTTTTTAGATAATTATATAAGATATTATTAGATAAATGAATAATCAGTTTAGATAATGATTAAGCCTTTTTAAGAGTTATGGTCAATGTCGAAGACTGACCATATAAATAAGGCTTAAGGGCTAAACCGAAGTAGAGGATTAAGTTCTGATAACTAGTTGTAGCCTCAAAATCCTTACGATACAATTATAGAATTAGGATTGTTTGGGCTAGCACCCTGTGGAAGTTCCAAGCGTGTTCGTGTATGGACAACCGATAGAGGAAACCTGATTTGGTTTCTTAGTGCTACATCAAAGTTTCAATTTCAACCATAAGGTAAATATTTTAAACACCCTATGGTTGTGTAGATTCGTTTTAATTGTCAATGGATCCGGCTTTGGGTTTTATTTAGAAAAGATTTTCTAAACGTTTTTGTAACCGGGTTCTGTTTTTCCGCTGCGTTTAATTCGGTTATTTTCGCAAACTAAAACCCAACAGGAACCTATCAAAATGAGTGAACACGCTAAAAGAAAAGTATGTTCAGTTGTAAACTGTACACATCTCCCAACCATTTGGTCTAGGACTTCTTTTTGGCATTTTGTCTTCCTTGAATGCAAACCCATGGTCCAAAAGTTAACAAGTGATCTTCTCTTCACCAGTTAATTCCAATCGCACTGACTAAAGAAAATATGAAGAGGAACTTCACTCGTATATCCTTCCATAACCTGTCCCAGACTCCCAGGCTAGAATGAAGGAACAGGGTGTCATGCCTTACAAGCCAGCACCAAAAACAAGTCAATCCTATCACATTTAGCCTTCCCCAACTGCTTTTGGATAAAAAGCTAGATGTTGTTTCTAAAGCACAAATAATAGATTATGTAAGATTAAGTTATGCTAACAAACCAATTATAAAAGTATACTTTCACAAAAATTAGATGACGAGATATATCACCTCCATGGCAGCTGCATTACAAAGAAGCAAAGTCACGAGAAGTTGGTGTTGTTTCTGAACCACTGGAAATATGACAGCTGAAAATGATATAATTCATTAAAAGTAAGCCGAGAAATCATGAGCACAATTCCCCTGTTACAAATTCTCGCATTGCCTTTTGTTGGGTACTTTAAGGAACCATAAAAATATCATTTTGGAGAGATACTGAGATAAATCATTAATCCATTAAATATATTTGATGCATTACCTCTTTAAAGGTCAAGCTACAACAACATTTCCGAACTCAATCATCAAAATTGATTACAAATCCCAAACAGGATTAAGGTAAATCAATGATGCAGTAATCTATTGACACAGTACATTTTAATTCCAGTCTTATTATTCCAATACTCCAACTTCGTTATAATATTTTATGTTAACAATCATAGAAATAACAATGTGATTTTAATGCGGTAAATGATATGAATACACACAGTACATAATGGACCATGGACCTGGGAATTCTAGAAATTAGAGTAGCCTAGTAACAATGATGACATAATGGAGAGATGATCCAACTATAAGTGACGCGCCTCGAGTAACGTAGATATCAATCATGACAAGCTTGCTGCATTTAGTCAAACTAATCTTCAGCAACGGGTTGGTTAAGATATCCTGGAGGTCATGTGTAGGCTGAATAGAAGGTAGATACGAGGTTGTTGCAAGTTGAAACAATACAATAACATGATGACAATCTACTTCAATATGTTTGGTCATTTCATGGAAAACTTGATTCTTGCATGGCTTGGAACCAACCTTTAACATTTCTGGAATAGGATATCTGTCTACGTCAGTTGTTAAAGTACAAAATACAAGGACAACGCCTCCTTGGATACCTTATTCAATCCATGCGGGCTATGCTTTTAATTACAGTGCTATAGCGGTTAGCGGTCCTAGGACAAATAACGGTGAGAAATAGCGGTTCTGCTAATAGCAGTGCTAATCACCGCAATTGAGCGGCAATTTTGATTTGCAACAGCGGTGTGAAAACCGCAATTAGGAGTTGGGCTTTCAATTGGCCTTTTAGAGGGTTTAGAGAAGTCCGTAATGGGATTACAAGCTAGGGGGCTGATTTTGATTTTCAATATTGGTGTGTAAACTCGATATTCCTCTCTCATCTCTTCAATTCCAGTCTACTATTATGCATCTTCTCTTCACAACAACATTGTCTTCCCAACATACATTGCTCGTCATCTCTTCTATTCACGTGTTCTTTTGTTCATCTTCAAAATATATATTATACATTTATAATTGTAGTTATTACATAAACCGCTATTTGTGGACCATTATACCACTGGGTTACCATCACGATAACCGCTATATCAAATCACAGTCTTGACCGCTATTTCAGATTTTGATCACTGTAACAAAATAGCATGCGGGAATATGGTATTCGGAAGATAATCCTAAAGCGGGTAGTGTATGCAACGAGAATTATATTGGGATCGTTTTAGCAGAGTATCAATGGTGGCATTGGCATGTCTTAGATAATGGCTTATGAGTCTATGGAAGTAGACAATCTTGAGAATTTGGCTACCCTACTTAACTAGATGCATGTGTAGATGCGTAAAAACCTAAGCGATTAGGGGCAAAAAATAGGCAAATCTGCTTCTAACAACTGCTTAGAAGAAACCTAGACCTGAAAAATGCAAGGGAAAAAATGTAGCAGGCAAGGAATACAACTCTGAGTTAAAGGGAAGTAACATTAGGCATAGTGAAATACCGTTTAGTCCCACATGGACAATGATTACAGGGGCGAAACACGATTGTTGTAGTCTAGGGGCGGAAATAAAATACTACAAAAATTCAGAGATCCAAATGATATGCACGTAACTTGTTTTTTGTTCTTTTTCTATATGATCTACTATTAAATTTCGAAAAGAACGGGTTAATGTAAGACTAAGGGGCCGTTACCAAACAGTTACCCGGTAAGCGCTTACCAATTCATATTACATGGCAAGGACTGAGAATTTTATCCAGTAAGAGTGATGGTAAGAACCAAAAGCCTTACCTGATAAGTGAAGGTGACGATTCTTACCAGGTTGGCGCTTATCGGGTAAATTGTTGCATATGTTGTCGTTTTAATGTAGTAAACATCTTACCCAACAAGGTAAGTGATAGTGTTAAATCTTACCTGTAAGTGCTTGTCGGGTAATTGTTTGGATAAACAACCCTTAAATTCAAAACCTTCAAATTATTAATCAAAAATAGTCATACAAATTTGTAATGTTTTTGTACTATAATGAACCAACAAAATAACCTTTAGATTAGTAATATAACACTATATACCAACTTAAACATTATTTCTTTATATTAATTAAAAACTAATTTTTCTATATAATTAATATTATTAATTTAATATGTAGTGGAGGAAAAATGACAAAAAAATGGAAAATTTGCATGGGAATGGATTTGAAGCCGTGACTTCAAGGAGGTGGCCACAAAATGATCACCAACAGAGCTACCAATTACATATGTTCCTATTAATTCATAAATGGTATTTGAGCCAAAAAGGGGGGTGGCCATGGCCCCCAAAGGCCCTATGGGTTCCGCCACTGATCATGGAGAAAACAAATGCATTTAAAATTTTAGGGGACAAGAAACAAAGGAATTTTTTAGAAGAGTATGAAAAAAGAAATTTGTCATTCTAAACAACATGATAGAGTTGGCTGTAAAAACTTGTGAAACTCGATTATGCATCAAAAGTTTCAGTGCATCATCAAGTAAATGGTAATTCTTCCATTCATTAATTCCATTTTGCTAAGGACCATAAGCAAACTATGACTCATGCAAAATTCCTTTTTGTGACTGAGTTCGTGTGAAGAGGACAGAAAAAAGAATTTGTCCATCTAAAGCAAAGGAACACATGCAAGAGTTAGATGTCAAAACTGCCTTCCATCAAGAATGAAGGAGAACTTTATCATGTATCCGAAGTTTTAGTGCAACATCAAGTAAATGGTGATTCTCCCATTCATCAATTTCATTTTGTCGAGTACCATGATATTTTTTGTAGAGCCTCCTCCATGCTCAATATCATGAATTTGTTATATAAGTAGCTAAGGTAGATAAACATGACCTTAGGAAGCCCAATTAGAGGGATACATTTTCCTGAAAAGATGATAGGTTGTTAATCAGAATAAATGATTGAATGTTCCAAGAAGTACCAAGATTACGTGGAGGATAGATCCTCGATGAAATTCAAAAACAACAAGCTTATCCTACCTAGCGGGACCAGACAAGTACTAACAACGGAAATGCTACGTAAATCATAGTAAAGCCTCTTAAACTTAGCAAAGTACTCAATCATGCTAGAGTCTCTGTTACAATCTTGGAGAGGGTTTCGTAGAACAAGGGTATAATGGTAAACATAAAGAGGGAGACAATTGGATAGTTAGTAGTTAGGTAAAAGGTTGGTGAAGGGTAGTATAAAAAAGTAGGGGCTGACGCTGGGGATATTGGGTATCTAGTTTTGTCTAACCTATAAAAGGGTAGTATGTGAGTCGCGAACTGAGAGACTAGGCAAGACTAACCGCACTGGGAGACTAGGCAAGACTAAGTATGTGATTAAAAGGTGTGAAGAAGAAATATGTATTTAAGAACAAGAACAAGAGAAGATATATATGGAAGAAGTTTTTATTTCTTTCCAAGGGATGATTACAAATAAAGGGGAAACCTTCCTTATATAGGCAAGGAAAAGGTGCCTTTACATGATCATGATGTAAGCATTACAAAAACAACATGAGGTAAGTGCTTACATCACTTAAAGTGACCTAAAGCTTCCATCATTTTTACATCACACTAATACTTAAAACTTAAGAAATACTTGCACACATTATCTTACAATAAAATATCTAGAATATTTTATTTCCAATGGGAATCCGGATGAGATGGATCGTCTTCGTACAGGTCAAAATGCTCTTCATATGGGTCATAATCGTCATCTTCTTCTTGGTCTGTGGAGTCATTTTCATTAGAGGTATCTATTTTTTGCGACAGATGAGTTTGAAACCACTGTTGGACGGACTCATTCCACTTTGATGACAATGGGTGTTCTGCAGGCCATAAATCTTTGTTTTCCATGACATGTGCTGGATCGTCTGGGGACTTATTTGATTTGCACTGGCGAGAAGACCACGTATTTCCATGTGCTTGTAGACTTGGTATATTTCAAAAGATTTGCTGGATGGATTAGCATCATACCAATCATGGATGAAGGCTAAAGGCGAATGGTAAACTATTGATTGCGTTTGTCTTGTAATTACGGTAGGAAGTAAGAAAAGAACGGGGCCTTCTGAACATGATGACTACTTAAGTCTTATAGCACATGGATAGCTTTTGGAGCCATTTGCAAGGAAGATCAAACCAACTGAAGAGGGTGAAGACATTTTTGGAATCTTTTGGGGCGTTCTCGAATTGGCATTGGAACAGGTATGAGTATAGCTTGACAGCATTGAATGAAATGGCAATAGTGAAGGACTCGAAAAGATACCAAAAAAAGCATAATGCTTCTTTTGGTAACCCATGCAAATAGTGAATGTGGAAGATGTTCAGGAAAGGGTAATCAGGGTGAAACTAAAGATTTTTCATGAAGAGGCCATGCTTTTGCAGAGTGATGGTAAAGAACGTCTTGTAGTTAAGGTGGGATCTTCCTTTCAGGGTCAAGTCGGCGATGGTTTCTGTGATTTCTTCTGGGAGGTTTATGAGGATGGCTAGGCATCTTGGTTTGAAGAACTTGCGTTAGCTATTGGGAACACCATTGGAAGGATTTGGTCTTGAGGATGGGTTGGACTTCTTTAAGAGTACTACATTTATAGCCTTTTGGTCGTGACAGAAAATCTGCAAGAATATTTTATGTTCCTTTGATGTGTTTTACTGTGAATTTCCACTGGGAGAACCAATTTGATCACCTCAATAATTGTGCTTCAGGAAGCATCTTTCTTTTGAATTGCATCATACGAGGGAAAGAAGACATATCCATTTCGATCAAGAATTCATGACCGATAAGACGGAATTTTTCTATTCCTCTTTTGACCGCAAG